CGATTAAATATATCTATACACCAACACCACGGCTTCATAAAATACACTCTAATACAGTAGTAATACGATTGCTATTACTGAAGACTAACATATGCCGTGTTACCCTGTAATTTCACTGCCACGTCTACCATTCAAAACACCGTTCACGAAACAACTCGATGTCAGAATTGAAAATAAAATACAAAATTAAACGCATCACATTCAAACCAGCACTTTTCACATTTCGTTTCCATTTTCATGTTTACTTTTTTTATACGACCAGAGATAAAATAATCACTAATGTAGTTTGTATATGCATATTTACCATTATTTCTACGTCTCCCCTCGTCGTCTCCAATGAAAATTTAGTACACGTCCCTTAGTAAACGTGTCACTTGTGATCCTGACCAATTTATGTGTCCCACTTGTTTATTATCCTCGCATTTGTGCGAATGTAACTGATATACGGTTATGTTATCTGTAAATCTGTCTGTCTCACTCGGATTCGTAGTGAGAAACCGAGTGCGATAACGAATTCGATAGGAATTGTTAGTTTTGATAAAGCGGTAGCTAGATTAGACAGGTAACACGAAATGTACAGAATAATTTAATTGATTATTTTTCATAAATTTATACATTTTTTTTTATTTAATATTAATTGTCGTGGTCAACATTCGAATACTACATATATTTTGATTATTTTTCTGTTTATCCGTAATCACTAACAGTGTAGAGAGGGGATTGTTAGTAATGTGTACTAATAATCCCATTGCTAGCAAAGTACCATGTTAGGTTGACCTTCAGGCTGTTCCCCTTGGAGACTATAGTGGTAAATTGCCATTTGCCAAGATGGGCTGACTGATCTGACCTCATGTTTTGTTTATCATCCTCCACTGGTCCCCTGCTAGCATATACAGTTAGCGTAAGCGGGTGCATTATTCCATTAACGAAATAAATAAGAGTAGTGGCCGATACTACTGATTGGTAGAGGATAGTGAGAGTCTGCAGTCCTTTATTGTACAACTTTTTATTTAAAGAGACCCTCTGGCATCATGTTTATAAATTCAGAACTGGAGTGCTCTTTATCCAACTCCGATATATAATAATAATCCAGGATTATTCACACAGCCCCATCCAATTCTAAACTAAGCAGAGTTTGTGTTATGGGTACTAGACAAGTTATATACATACAGAGATACATTTTTTTTGGAAATACTTATATAATATACATACATAGAAAAGACTTAAACCGACACAAACAATCATACTTATGAATACAAATATTTAGCGTACGAGGAATCGAAGCCGCGACCATCGGAAATTAAACGGAGAGCTAAATAACTGGACCACTGAAGCTGTCAATACCCATATGTGTTATTTTTAGTCCTTTGGGGGTTGTTATTAAGTAACATCAAGACTAGCTCATTTGGGTGGATACTCAGTCGAATCTTGTATTATGAGCAAGTACCTACTGGCAAACTAATGTAGTATTTAATGTCTTCATTATACGATATCCCAACATGATCCTGATAGTCGTGAATCCTAATGCTAATGTTGTAACGTCAATTAAAATTTCTGTTTAAGTCTATGTCGATCGTAAACACCTCTAACAAACCAAATTAATTTATATGTTGGCATATTATAACTCCTACTATGTTGTATTTATGTATTTTCATACAGACATACAACATAGTAGGATATATGTAGACGACTGTGTGTCACAACCGTAACGTAATAGAAATAATGACTAATATTATACAATATGTACATACACACACAAGATTAGAAATTAGTTCTATTTATCTTACTACAAATATCATTATGTTAATATGTGAAGCAAAAACTGCACTCCTTTTTACGGAGGAGTTTGAAATTCCGCACACTTTTAGTTTATATAGAAAAGGAGTGAAAATATTTAATATAAATATAATATATATATATAAAAAATGCATTACACAAGCTACTATGTATTTGACTCACACACAAATACACTTTTGTTTATTTGTTATGGCTGGTTCAAGATCTTTTGTATTTTTAAATATCCAAATTTGACCACTGAGCGAGTACCTACTTATTTAAGTATTTATAAATCACTGCTCATTTATCATCGAAATTTGACCACTGGACGACTATTTATTTACGTATTTATAAACAACATTACTAAATTGAGCTAATTATTAACAATACTGTCAACAGCGTGGTATTTATTTGTATTTATGAGTATAAGAGTATTGTTTTCTATGGATATACATATAGGTATGTATTTACAAAAAAATCTATTTTAGTGTTTCTATCAATCGTTTAGTACACATAACACAAGATTTGCTTAGTTTATGACTAGATGGTGCTGTGTGAATTGTTCTGGGTTATTATTATGAAATAGCAGAAAGAACGTCGAGATTTTTTGCTTAAAGTAATCAACCACAACATAAAAAGATACAGTCAAAATTCGGTCTTATTTTTAAATGGATGAAACTATCAAATTGGACGTATTGTTCACAACCATTGTCTATACCAAAATTATAAATTAGAAAGTATGTCGTTCTGCTTGTTTGTTACCTTTGTTACCTTTTCACGACTGAAGGGATCCTAATGTTTGACGTAAGATACGTAGTGTCACAAACTATTATATATTATATTCAAACAAATATATGCATAGTCGCGATTAACAACTACTCCTACATTCATAAAAAGGCGTTATATTTTTAGCTACTGTACAGAACTGACAGTCTTAATTTTTGAGATATTTTCTGAATTTGAAGTCTAAGATTTAAAATTTAATTTGTTATTATGTTAATTTATTTTGCCAGATTCTTACCGGCCAAAAACCTGACGACTATTCCTCCTCGAACATATCGCCGTAGCCATGGGATCTCTTGAAGAACTTATTGTTTGTTATTATAATGTTTTTTTGCTTCATAAGCATGATCTTAAGAGGAATCGAACCAGCTACGATTGATAGTAAAGCAGCTGCTATGCACCTTTTTTTTTAACGTCAGAAAAATCTTCATCAAGGCTTCGGGGCCAAATGGGGACTGTCGGATTCATACCGGCCAAAAACCTGACGACTATTCTTCTTTGAACATATCGCCATAGTCATAGGATCGCACATGCATTCTCCAAGACCACCGGCATGGTTTCCCTCGAAGGGACCTTTCATCTAGGTGTGCAGGGAATAGCCGCTGCACGCCACCTCTGGTCCCTAATGATAGCTAGCTATAACCCTCGACTTTGTCTAATTATTTTGAGATAATTGCCTCTCTTCTATTTTCATGTCAAATTTAGTTACTATCGTTCAGACGATTAGTTGTTAAGAGGTAACAAGCAGACAAATGCTGTTGGGTTTATAATCTAAGTATAGATTACTCGTAAACATGAGTGCGAGTGCAATTTTCAAACAACAGTTATCGCTTCAAACTTCTCTAAATGATGCAAAATAAAGTAACTGTGTATCTATTTAAATCACGCAATGGATTTGATACTTACTATTATATTAATTTTGACGGTAGAATTAAAATATTATTCTAACGTCCTTACTATATACTTACTAGCGATTTTACCCGAGTGAAATTTATAGCTTATGTGTTATTTTGGTGTATAAGCTATATTACTGTAAAGTTTCATCTAAATCAGTTCAGTAGTTTTTAGGTGAAAGAGTAACAAACATCCATCCATCTATCCATACATCCGTACTTACAAACTTTTGCGTTAACTAAATTTATTTAACTAAAGATCATACCTATTATATACTATACAAAGTCACTAATATTATGTTATCTGTGCTAATATTATACATACCAGCACATATTTGCCTGTTTACGCCAAACACGCATTATTCCCTAATTAAATTAATTAATTATCTAATTTTTCCCTGCACATTAGCCGTTTTAGTTCTCCTTCTCACTCACACAATCATGCTATCTCATTCATGGAATATGACAATCATCAATATATAATATGTACATTAGTTTATCCAAGTAAAGGTAAAAATGTACGATAATTAATAAATACGTTCCGTAATGTTGTTTTTTTAAATGGATTAAATAAAAAAATAATCGGCGGATTTTGAAAATAACTTCACCTACAAAACAACAAGTTTAGGGTTGCTAATTGTTGTCTCAGGTGTCCATAGGCTATGGTAACCATTTACAATCAGATGGGTCGTATGTTTGTTTGCAATCACGGTGGTATAAATAAGTAAGTATATAAAAAGATTATCGGCGAGTAGTATTGTATGAATATTTTATGTTTAAAATATTAGACATATCTACAATAACAGAATTCTAGGAAGGTCGGGACGAGTTAGTTGTCTATTCTAAACATACAATAAAAACGCAACTGATGTAGGTACATGGAAGATTATATAGGAAATGCTATTATTGGATGACTTTATCATTGTAAAGAAACTTAATAATATATTTTTTTATTTTATCTGTTTGTCAGTTCGTTTGTACGCGCTAATATCAAAAACTGTTAAAGCGACATAGTTGCGGTTTTAATTATCCATGCTTTATATAGAATGTAGTGTTAGTTTTATTTCAAGTAGTTTATAAAGAAATAAATTTTAAACTACTAGCTGATCCGCGCATCTTCGTCTGCGATAGACTTACTTGATATTTATCATTATAATTCACATAATATCTTTTTAAATTATAGCCTATATATTATTTGAAGATATAACCTACATTACTGCAAAGTTTCATCAAAATCTAATTAGTAGTTTTTACGTGAAAGAGTAACAAACATCCATGCATCAATACTCATAAACTTTCGCGTTTTTAATATTATTATCTATGGCCTTAGGTTCACTCACGTGAAATTTATAGTCTATGAGATATTTTGATGTATAAGCTATATCACTAAAGTTAAGTTTGTAAAATTTCTTACTTTACAAACTTTACTTTCCATATTCACAAATTTCCGCATTTATAATAAGATTAAGATCATTGAATGGAGGTAACTTATTAAAAAGTTACCGCTATTACTTTGTAAATAGGTAAATAATTAATTATAATACATACCCAACACATAGTTAATAATAGAAGACACAAGTACACAAAACTGTCATTATACAAAACAAGTACAAGTTAAAATCTGAACTGTACACCTGCCTAACGATCTGTACTTCCGTTAGCAGCGCAAACAAACGAATGATGAATAACTAACCGATCTTTTACTATAACTGCACCGTTATGTGGAGTGAATGGGTAACAGGGATGGCAAACGTACGAGTTGTCTTGTACTAAAACGATATTTTTAAACTTTGGTATGGATTGGCGGGAAAGGAGAGGGTATTGTTAGTAATGGTCCACATTTTTAGTTATATTGGTTATATCTTTTATTGAAAAACTTCTCAATGATATACGAAAACATGACATTAAAATTGTTGTATATTTTTATAGATTACAGATTGGCAATTAAGTGTTTAAAGATTGGCAACCCTGACGGGTACGAACAGAACAAAGAACGCGTATGAGCAATTGCAAAAAAAGCAAAAGTCACGGATTCTGATAGCGGCCGTGTCAAATTGATATCAGAGAGTACGTGTTGTAAGTAGTATTTTTGTTTTTGATATAAATTTTGCAAATGCCAATATAAGGTAGTCAATTAAAACAAAGGTTCTAATACAATGTACCCACATACAATTGTTTTTTCTTTATTCATTAACTTACTTTTTTCTGGTTCGCTTTTTCCCATCAGGGAAAGGCAAAAGGACTCAGCCCATACAACCAAAAATTAATTTTGTATAAAATTATACAATTTTTTTTTTATTATGTGTCTTTAAAAATTACATACAACCCTAAATTTTCACCCTTCTATTACCAACCCCTATTTTTTATAGCGTTATTAATTTATATGGCAAAACAACGTTTGCCGGGACAGCTAGTCTTATATACATAAAATTCTCATGTCACAATGTTAGTTACCATATTCCTCTGAAACGGCTTGACCGATTTTTATGAAATTTCATATGCATATTCAGTAGGTCTGAGAATCGGCTACTATCTATTTGTCATACCCCTGAGTGATAAGGGTTCTCCATCCCTAACATATTTTTTTTTATTTTTTGAGTATTTATTTTTATTTATATTTTTTTTATTATGTGTCATTAAGGGGGTCTTCCTATGTGACGGCCTGTTTTTTAGGGATATTTTAGGATTTTTTTTCTACGACCAGTAAATATTTAGAGCTTCAAGTTTTTTATCATTTATTAACACATATTTGGACAGTATAAATATAAAATTTCAGCTAAAAATATTCAGTCAAACTAGAGTTACAGCGCTCTGAACACCCCCGCCTCGAAAAAAAGAGCTCCCACTTCCTCCACGATTCCGGCTGATCGGCTTATCTGAAAAAAAAAAAAAACGGCGTTTTAATTTGTAGGCTTAAAAGCACGGAATGACCTATAATCAAATGAATATAAAAAAAATTGGATTTTTGATAGACATTTGAAATAAAAGTTGCAAATTAGGCGTTTTTTTTTTTGTTTTTTGCTATAAAAAATCGAAGTTTTGAAAATTTTGATAATAGTTCATTCCATGCGTTTACATATATTGAGTGTGCCCTGTAAATTTCAAGTAATTCGGTCCAGCCGTTTCTGAGATACAATGGAGGAAAGTTTGAAAAACACAGTTTTGAGAAAAACGCGTTTAAAGTTTCAAGTCCGTTAAAAACTATTAAAATATCAACTTACTCTCAATCGGCGATGCCTGGTCCATAGAGTATTCCTTCCTCTTCCTCGTGAAACTCTTTTAAAGCAGATTGTTCAGCTCTTGAGTCAATCCTGGCTTGTTTAACGACATCACTTACGCGCCGCTCAGAGCGTAAGATTCGCTTTTCATCCCGTTTCTCAACATACGCTTGGGCTTCACGACCAACAGGGCATCCCATAATCGACATAACTTTTAAAATACCTTGAAAACCTTCATTAAAGATAATAACTGCTAAGTAGCTAGCAATTTTTTGGGACCAGAATGAAGATGTTTAGGAGCGAAAGTCCAAATCAAAGAATTCAAAGATTCGTTATTGTTTTGTGTCTCTGCTCCTAAACAACGAATTAATAATTCGTCTTTCGATAAATCTTCGAAAACCGGTTTGATAGCTTCTTGGACTTGCGGAATTAGAGGTGGTTTATCGTGATGAAATTGGTCCAGTTCATTATTAGCTTCAGCCTTACGCCATTTACACCAACTGTCTTCGCCTTCTGGACAAAATTGTTGCTGAGGGTTTTCATCAGAAGAACCAATCCACTCGTACTTCCTTTCCGTCCACTCATTATGAAAAAAAATAATTTGTAGCTGTTGCTCTCTTCGAAGTTCAACCAAGACTAAAATAACTTCGGTAAAATATTATAACAATAGAAATTTCTGTTTAAGTCTGTAGAAACGTGTCTAAACTTGTATAAACAAATATATTAATAAAAGGGAGGCCAGGTATAAAGCCGACGGTACACAATAGGCCCGGTCTCTAACTGCCAACTCACCGCTCCGAACCGCTCTTTCTTTTACCTGCTGTATCTTTAAAACGACTTCGAATTTTCTAAAATCGCTTTACTACCGTATTCTAGACATGTTAAGGGAGCAATTTATGAAAAAAAAAAATCGATTTTTTCAACCCATCACATAGGAAGACCCCCTTAAAAGTACATACAACCCTAAGTTTTCACCCTTCTATCACCAACCCCTATTTTTTCACAGCTTTATTAATTTATATGGCAAAACAACGTTTGCCGGGACAGCTAATATCTAATAATAGACATTTATAGATAATAATAGACAAAATAGTAAACACCATTGCCTGCGATACTACGCAGATGTCTATGAGTAAATTTTTACATAGTACAAAATAAAGTCGCCGCGGCTGTCTGTTCGTTTACATCTTTTAAATTACGCAATGGATTTTAAAACACTTTTCAACAATATATAGAGTGATTCAAGAAGAAAGTTTTAATTCAATTACTTTATTCATGTAGGTCTATTAAAAACTCTTATAATATATCAAATTTACCGTCCAGAAAGATTTCGAAATGAGAAGAACTGACAAGAAACTCAGATGGTTTGAAAATAAATGTTGTACACGTTTACAATATAGATTAATGTCAAATTTTGGAAAATGGAATGACCACCAGCATATGCTATTGCAAAAGCAAATAGTCTAATCAGTGTTCGTAACCCGAACAGGCCAATCCCTACAAGCAGCACCCGTTCACGAGTATGACGGATGAGCCAGTCAGCTGTTTATATAAATAATACATGCATGTTATAGAACAATCTAAAAAACTAAAAGATTTGTAATTCATCCGGGCGAAGACGAGTGTGGTCGCTAGTTAAATATAAATAGTGTAATTTATTTATATAACCTGTATAACCTATTTTCGGCTGTGAATCTAAATCTATTTATAAAGTTTAGACACAGTATAAGCAATAATAAATCGCACAGGTGCATCTCAGTACAGTGTTACAACGATGTAATACTAGTAAAGAGTCTCAGGATGACGTGATATCCATGGTACTGTTCATGTACATATATATAGTATATAGGTGAAGGTTACTCAGGTACACCGTCGGCTTGTTTGCCATTGCAATAATGTAGAAAATAAATATAATTAAATACTAGGTTAAGTAATAATCAGTCTATGTCTGGAATAAAAGTTAATAATTAAATTATTAAAAAACTGATAATTTTATTATTATTTTATAGGAATATTAATAAACATTCACAAAAAAAACAATTATTGTAATCCAACGCGGTACATAAAGGCAGCATACCCTAGAATACGGACAGCGTAAAGTTTGTACTAAAAAAAAATTAAGTATTATAAAAGTTGTAATTAATTTATGTTATCTATCATTTTATTTACCGGTCATCACTTTCGATCTCGTCAAGCGCCGCGCTAAGGTCAACATCCAGTACCGTAATTGTTCTTGACCTACTGTTAAAATTTAAGCTGTGGTATCACCATTTCCCGGAACCGCAATAGGATATATTCACACAATAGAGAAGTGAACTGAGCAGTTAATGAGTTTATACATTGGTACAAGTATATATCCGTAAATAGAAAGCGATTCATCGCCCGACAATAATTCTATTGCGTAGAATAGTTTATATCATCTTAATTATTTTTTAACGATGCTATTTCATAACGTAAATTAAACTTTAATATAACTGATATTAGATTAATTTTCTGATGTTATCAGTTTAATGTCACAATTTTATATTTTGAATTATAATAGACAAAAAGATGTAACAGGCACCTAAACAATTTAATTGTAAAGGAAAATATAATTTCGGATATTTTATTTAATATGATGAGTACCTAGTCTTTCCAGATACGATTTTATATAGGGCACCGGGACTTATTGGTTATTTCTCGGACTTACACCGAAGGGTCTATCTAAATAAAACCAAAAAACCTTGTGTGTTTATTTGTTATTTCTGCCTAACATTCCGGTGATAGAAAGACCAATAACAAACCAGAGAAATCAGAGAAACGAGACAGACAGAGAATCAGAGAAGTTACTTATACTTATAACATCAGTTACCTGCCAATAAAAGTCAAAATCGGTCCAGTCATTTCAGAGATTAGCCGGAACAAACAGACAAACAGATAAAAATTGTAAAAAATGTTATTTTGGTGTGTGTACTGTATTTATAATATAAATATAAATACGGTACATATAAAAACGGTTATTTCAATATTACAAATAGATACTCCAATTTTATTTATATGTATAGATTACAAATTGTTCACTATATAAAATAAATAACAGGCTTGAAGGTGTATTATTTATGTAAAGTTTGTACAAAATACATAAAAAAGTAAAAAATAGAATAATTAACTAAGACTATATAAAAAAAACAACATCGTTATGTTAAAGCCAATGGCCGACTAACTCAAATGGCCTTGTCACGCGACCGTATACGAAAATCAGACAGATTGACTCAACTATTGGTGCCCAATAGTGTTGTATTTAAATTCTTAAAAATCAATTCTATATTCTTATTGACGTAATTTCGTTATCGACAATCCGCTGATAAGAAATTTAGATACGATACGGTTAATACCTGCGTTGCATTAATGGTGTCACTACGACCCACATACATTTTAGTCCATTTAATTAATAAA